GGAAATAGTTTTTTTTTTTTGCTTTGTAAGTTCATTGTAGTTAGTGTTAGAAAGTTTGCGAATATTTAAGAAGCGAACTCGTTTTTCTCTATAGTTCCAACTCTTCGCTCGGTCTTGCGTTAAATTCATTCCTTTGTTCAGTTTATTAGCTTCCTGTAGCTTGTCGTTTCATTATTCAATTAGTAATAAAAATATAAACAATCTGCGATCTACCACTATCATATATGTACTATACTTTTATAGTAGTCTTGGAGTATATTCATTTCTGACACAAACAATTAAAGGAGAAATTACAGGAGAAAATCCGGAAAGGTGCTCATTATATTTTAAGATAAGACAGTGAACTTCGAATTCCATTGCATGTCATAGTTACTATACATATGTGTATTTTAGAAGCGTCCGCTCGGCTAATGCAAAATAAGAACTAAATTATATTTAGGTGAGATCTACTAATTTGCTTACAATTATAAAATAATAAGTTAAAGATTTGGATTTCCACAAAATTGGCTTGGAAGACCGTTCAAAGAATATAACGAAATACAGCATCTTAAGATTATTAGTAGAGTTCTTTAAAAACATCGCAAGCCAATTCATATTATGGATTAGAAAATTATGTTTTAAACACGGACCGAATCGTTTTAATTTTGTTTTCCCAACACCTTTTTTACATTCTTGTAAAGTTAAAGTTAAATATTTCCATTAGCGGCCGCTTAATAGTAATATGTTTACGATGTATTAAGTATTATATTATTATATATGTTTTATCGAGTGTGTACTGTTGAATAGAATTGTTACAGCAGTGTTTGGAGTAGTTCCTGAATTATCGTTGAGTGGATTTTAAATGACGCACAAATTGCAAGATGCTGCCAAGCTTCTCTTATCCTTGGCATAATTGTTGTCTTTCTGTTCTTGTTTATTGTATTTTCAACTGTCTGATTTTTTTCACTCAATTTTCCACCTATTTCCCCCCACTCCACTGCCTCTCTTTCTCTTCTCTCTGTTCGTTCTTTGCTTAATTTGTGCAAAAAGTTTTTAATTGCAAATTGTCCATTTGCAGTCGTCTTCCTCATTCGTTCTCATTGCTCCCCCCACCCCCACCACTGCTCATATTTTGGGCATAATTATAACAATGGCAACAGCTGCTGCAACAAGAACAACAACTAGGCTGTGCCACGCCCACAGCAAGGCAGTCGCAGGGGCAGTCAGGTCCTTTTGTTATGCAATTTGCATTGCTAGCAACTTTTTATATGCATTTCAACTTTAACTGTGGCCAGGCACTGACACTGAACCCAAAGGCCAGGCAGCGAAAGCGAAAATTGGCAAGAACTGGTAACTCGACTATTGAATATACTTAACCACGTTGTCACAAATGCAGTTAACCTGATGAAGTTTTCGGATCCATCCTTCTCGCTTTCCGGCACTTAAACTAGGATGCTAATCGGGTTTCTGCTCATTCAATTTCCATCTTTGTTCAACCGTAAGACAGTTCTTATTGCTTTTTTTCTCCACAAGCTGATTGTCGGGGATGTTGATTCTTTAGCCCTTTTATCTATCTAGAGGTAGACTGCTGCACAGACTTACAACTCATTACGCTTTGCAGAATCCTTTTTAACGTTTACATTTAAATTTCTCAAGTGCTCGTCTCGTTCCTTTGTCTTTTTCCTTATTAATAGCTACGCTTTTTAGTTTTCAACGTGAAAATCTAAGCTTGGTTTTGAAGATTAACTCTTCTCTTTGTAGTTTAACTAATTAACAATTCGAATTAAGTTCTGTTTTATTTATGAATGCTATTTATAAATGATGATATACTCGTATATATATTTGAGAACATCAAATTATCATCTGAGTCGAAATTGAGTGGAAATTTTGAAAAAAAAAAACAAACAAAGAAACTAAACTTTGAAAAAGTGTGTTGTCCGGATTACAAAGTCTACCTACAATTGAAATGAACTTGATGTCTTAACGCCAAATGAAGATTCCATGCTATATATAAAACCAAGTCTCGTCTCCAGTATTATGCATTTCATCTTGTTAGCGTAGTCAGAAAGCATTGGTTTCATATTTTTGGGACTAAACGAGTTTTATCTTCTACGAAGCACAAAACTTCTTTTAAAATGGTGTTGACTGGATTAAGTTTGTACACAGTAGTAGGTCTCTGGAGTTAATATATATATAATACGAGTATATCATAAAGGAATGATTGTTGCAACAAAGTTTTTATTTGGGTTTAAGGACTGTCGCTGTGCCTCTAACGTTTCTATCGCCCAACGTTAATTTAATACAAATTTAATATATTCTTTATACGTTATACTGATATTGCAGAATTTATCCTGCAAAAGATATTGTGCTAAAGATATTAGCGTGCTTCTATTAGTAGGATATTAGAGTATACCCAGTCTGGGCAACTTTAAGACGTTCGGGACTAAGAACAACAATAAAAACGTTGAGCAGGCGGCGCCATTGATAAAATTGCATGCCATTTCCGGTCAGTAAACTTTGATGTGAAAAGTTTTCGCGTTGCCTTTGCTGCGGATCACGCTAAACAAATTTACAATTGGACAAAAAAGTTGTGCAAGTTGCTGTATATATCAGCATGCTATATATATACCTATGTAGAAAAGTATTTATACATATATGTATGTATGTGTTGGGTGGGAATGCAGGGAAATGGAGTGCCATTTAAGACTTAAGCTGCTTAACTCTTTTAAAAGTCAAACTTGGGGTCAGCAAAACAGAAAACTGAAAACGCAGCGAAAATAATATTAAGTTTCTAATGCAGGCACATCATGTAACACAATTAGCTGCAACTTGTGTTGTTGCATTTACATTTGTAGTTTTTGTAGCTGGCGTCGAACTTAAGCGCTTTTTTCACGCTTCTCTGCGCCCCCAACCATGAAAAGGGTAACTGCCCAAGAAGAAGAAAGTGGAATGCAAGTAAAAGAAGATGAAGCAGAAAGAAGCGCGTGTGCTGGTAATTGGAGCAAGTTGGTGCCTAAGCTGTTGCCATAAACCTTGGCTGAAAGTGAAACCCACCGTTAAGTTCCATCAGCGATATGAGGCTTTATTCGCCCACTCCTCCCCGCCTATGTGTGTGCTGGAAACTTCTCTATGCTGAACACTCCAATGGGCATAACAGTAGACATTCTTTAAAGAGCATCGTTTCTACACAATGGAAAGTTTAAGAGTTGGATATAAATCTATGAAAATGATATGATAGAATCGAAAGAAAAAATTAAATAATAGTGTTTGATATTCTGATTTTCTTCTACGTTTTATAACTTCATTTTTCTAAGAAAATGCTAAATCTTCGGCGAAGTGATTTATTTTTTTGTGCAAGCACTAGTAATACAAAGTTGAAGAGATAACTTAAAGTAGTCCTTCCAATTTTATAAAGCTTTCCAATCGATAAACCAAGATTGGACAATGCACGCCTATGCCGAGTCACAGGTCTTAAGAATAAACTTTGATTAGAGGGTGATGAAATTTTGACAAATTTTGAATTGACAACTACCTCCAAAATTACAGTTTATTCCAATTTAACTAAAAGGTGTGTGTCTGATTTGTTTCCCTCAACTTAACTGTCAGCACTCAGAAAATTTCGTTGCTTACCAGTTGCATAACCATTGGCAATCAAATTAAAGCTGTTTGTGGATATAAAAGACATCCAAAAGAGTTGTAGAGTGTCTGCGGGAATGATGAACATTCCAAAAGACGATTTTAAGCATTCTATGAATAGTCGACTAGTCCCAGAAGTTTATAACAACTCGAAGTTCGGTCTCACTTAAAAAGAAAAGCAAGAAAGGAAAGATAAACTAATTGCAGAAAGCGAAGAACTTACAGAACCACAGACTTTAAATCTCCATTGTTGGCAAATCTTTAAGCACTTGCGGCTTACAGAAAACGACTGACATTGGTTCCAATTTTTGAAAACCTGAACAGCTTTCGACTCTCTGTAAAAGAACAGTCTACTACAGATTATACGATAGATTTATCCCAACAACTCTTGTTAATCTGCTCTTTACAAGAAGAACACTCGAACTAGTGATAAAGGATTTAATAGAATGTAAATGAAAAGTACAGTCACGTCTCTTTATATTAATTAAAATAATCAATCAACTTTGAGGCTTTTACATCGTAGTCGGCGTTTTTATTTAAAAATAGTTATTTTAGGAGACAAGTGTTTAAGGAATACTTCAATTTTAATTCCAGACGAAAAAATAAACAAACAAAAATATTTTATTAGTTTATTTTTGAGTATTAACGTTCGGTGTTTTGAAAAACTTGAACATTAAAAAATCACAACTCACGATTTTCTTTAAAATCTGTTGCTATTGCTTTCTCACAGAGTCTTATCGAAAACCTACGAAAAATTTAAACTTAAGCAAAGTATCTAGATAGAACACCAAATGTAGGTGTTAAATTAAATTTAAACTTAAACAAAGTATCAAGGTAAAACACCAAATGTAGTATCGCCGCTATGGAAAACGTTTGAAATGGAAATAAGTATGATAAAAAATACTACATTTGTTTAAGAAAATCTAGTCTAGATTCGAAAGTTTCTTATGAGCGACTCACATAATAATTTGTTTTCCACAGTTAGGATACGTTTTTGTAAGCCTTTTAAACTATTTTTTTTTACATTTAAATTGTAAAATTCTGGTAATTAGGGATTCTTCTTCCTTACCAGCTGGCGTTGATTGCCTGAGGTTTGCTTTCGATGTATTTCCACTGTAGTTGAACTTTGCATGGCCACATGGGGGAATCGTCTCTGTGGCACACATTGACATGCCGCACCCACGGCGTCTAATGTGCCGCTAATTAGCGCGACAAGTGATGGCCGACTGCTCCCCCGTTGCGTGCCAAAAAGTGCGGCCATCCAGGCAGGCAGGCATTTGTCAAAGGCGTCCATTGTACATGTGCCCGTGCGGCTGTTGAACTAATTTGCTTGCCATTAATTTGACATTTGAATTTTTTCATATTCTTCAATTTTTCACTTACAGCTGCAAAAATGGTTAACGATGTCGGCAAGTTAAGCGGCTATGAGTTCTATCGTCGTGTCCTGGGCTCGCCACAATATGTGGTCGCACCCATGGTGGATCAGAGCGAGCTGGCCTGGCGCATGCTCTGTCGAAAGTACGGCGCCCAGCTCTGCTACTCGCCCATGTATCATGCCAATCTGTTCGCCAACGATCCCAAATATCGCAAGGATGCGTTGCAAACATGCCCCGAGGACAGGCCATTGATCATTCAACTCTGTGGCAATGATCCACAGCAAATGCTGGACGCAGCGCTGGCTGCTCAGGACTACTGCGATGCTGTGGACATCAACTTGGGCTGTCCACAGGCAATTGCAAAACGCGGACACTACGGCTCCTTTCTGCAGGACGAATGGGAGCTGCTAACACAAATTGGTAAGAAAAGAAGCGACTCCTAAACAAGAACAAATAAATATGCGTTGCAAATTTCAGTAAACACTCTTCACGAAAAGTTGTCCGTGCCAGTCACCTGCAAGATACGCATCTTTGAGGATCGCGACAAGACTATTCGATATGCACAAATGCTAGAAGCCGCCGGCTGCCAGCTTTTGACGGTACACGGCAGGACACGTGAACAAAAGGGACCATTGACGGGTGTGGCCGATTGGAGCTACATTAAGTCTGTTAGGTATGTAAAGATTCATTTGGTGCAAACCAATAAGTCTGTTAGGTATGTAAAGATTCGTTTAATACAAAGCAGCCCCTATTAGTAGACTCAGTCAATAATAATAGTTACTATAATAAATTAAAACTTGTGGATAGCTTATGAGCTCAACAGGCTCCAAACATAATTTCATGCAAATAAACATGCATAAACAATTCAGCTCTGATTTTTCAAAAGTACTGCAAGTTTTTACCGAACATTTGAGCTTGCCGAATGGCAAATGGCACTCGACCCGCATGTGACATTTTTGATCAATTTATTTAAAATATTGTGGCCGCTCTCCTCTGCGATTCTCATACCAAGTACGTAAGCGCGGGCAAATTAAGAATTAAATTGTGAATTTTCTGAAAAATTTAATAATAATATTGTGAAATTTTTAATAAATTAAATGAAAATATTGTGGGCGCCCTTCTCTGCGATTCTCATACCAAGTACCTAAGCGCTGGCAAATCGACAATTAAATTGAAAATTTTCTAATAAATTAAATAAAAATATTGTAAAATCAAATTCTGAAATTTCTAAGAAATTAAATTAAATAACAAATTGTGGGCGCTCTCCTCTGCGCTTCTCATAACAAGTACCTAAGCGCTGGTAAATTGAGAATTAAATTGTGAATTTTCTAATAAATTAAATAAAAATATTTTGAAATTTCTGATATATTAATTTAATTTAAAAATAACTCAAGATTATTTCTCCAAAAAAGTTTAATAAAATGGCATTGTATTTTATTTGTACAGTTTAAGCTCAACTAAATACGTAACACTTATATTTATTTTTTTTATAACAGAGAAAACATAAAGATACCCATGTTTGCCAATGGCAACATTCTGGGTCTGGAGGATGTGCATCGCTGCTTGGTCGCTACGGGCGTTGATGGCGTTATGAGCGCCGAAGGCAATCTTACCAATCCGGCAATATTTCAGGGTATTGCACCAACCTGCTGGGACATGGGCAATGAGTACTTAGATTTTGTGGAGCAATATCCATGCCCCACCTCCTATATACGCGGACACATCTTTAAGCTGTTCCATCAAATGTAAGTTCGGGTGGAGCTATACAAATACTTCCGTAGTTAAATTATCAATTGGCTTATTTTTCAGTATGAACATTCGCCAGAATGCCGAACTGCGGGAACAATTAGCAACGGCCAATCAGTTAGAGCAATTTCGAGGCGTTGTGGCCAAAATAAAGAACAAATATGAGCCATATCAGAAGGGTGATGCAATATACACAATGGAGGAAATGGACGCCAGCATAACGCACTACACATCGGATCATGTAAGTTGCCAGTTCTATTTATTGTTGAAGTAGAAAATTCATAAAACTCTTTACACAGAAAGAAATGCTGCCTCCCTGGCTGTGCCAACCTTACGTTCGCGCCTCACCCGAATCCCACCGACAGAAAATAGCCGAAAAGGAGCGCGAAGCCATTGATCCGAATCGCATCAAGCGTCAATACTTTGACAAGGACGGAAATGAAATCTCCAGGAAGCGTATGAAAAAGCTGCGTCGACGTCAACGACGTCCCAACAAATCCGATGCGCATAATAAAGCTCGCCATGATCGTCAGCTGGAATATTGTGTTCAATGTGTCAATCCATTGGGTTTCAAGTGTGAATTTCGTTTATGCCGGGTCTGCTGCCGTGAAAAATGCTACTCTGACGACTGTGACTGCCCAGGTCATGGGATACTTATTAAATCACGACGTGCCAAGGCCAAACAATTTGAAGAGCATTCCAAGCACGGTGGCATTAATGATTCCGGTGTTGTAACTGTGGAGACTGTGGGTGCGGATGCTGACGAAAGCGATGACTTAACAAATAACGACAGTGTAGAAACACCAAAGCGGAAAAACGAAGTCATTTGATATTTGGTTTCACAAATTAGCAAATTTATACGAACTGTTTTAGGAAAAAATTATTGTTGTTCCTATGCTTACGTGCGCAAATAAACAGAGAGTCTATTTTTGTGTTATGTATATTTGTTTTAATTGTGACTTAAAACTACAAAAGGTCTAAATATGAAAAATCCATTTAAATCCCCCCCTCCCCCTCCCCAACTTGATAAATCAAACATGCAAAGTTTTGATTACGCGCTCAGTCTGGCAGCCGTGCAGCGATAGATCAAAGGCGAGCTATCGATAACAATTGTCAACTATTCATTTACAGCACTGCATGAGTACACATATATATTTTGTTTACATCTGTGCACATGTTATTACTTTAGCATCTGCATCTGTTCCAAATTAACATTTGTGTTCATATTTGAAGTTAATATTGAATTAATTGGTCAAGATGGAGGACACGAAGCCCTTCTACGACTTTAGCATACCCTATAACAAGAATGCCACGGTTATACGGGCCATACTGAACGAATTGGTCGAGTGTAAAAGAAATGCAAAATCGGCCAATTTGCCACATGCTCAAATTTTATTTATTTATAGTGGGCTACAAGACAATTGCTATTGAACAGAGCTTTGATCATAGCAAGAAGGACGCTGTAAAACGCGGTTCCGAAATGTTCCCCGAGCCATACAATATTGAAAATTTGCGCAATGAATTCAAAGACAAACTAAAGATTTTGCAGCGCCTGAACATTTTGTATGTAGACGCCAATGTTTCGCATGCAATGGTAAGGAAAACAGCCCTTAGTATTGATTTAATAAATTATTTACACCTCCATATTCTAGAGTGTGTCACTTAATCTCCGCAAATTTAATTTAATTGCTGGACAACCGAAAACCGATGCTGCATTAACGGTAAGAAGTTAACTCTTCCATTAATAGAAGCTTGCATAGAGATTTCCTTTTTACATTTAAGCACTGCTGCACTACCTTTAATGGTGATATTATCACATTTGATCCAGTGGCTGGCTCAAAATTGTTGGTGAATCGTAAATCCCTTCAAGTAGCTGTGCGCCGTGGTATGTTCTTTGAAATTAAATATGCGCCGGCCATTGCAGACTCCAATAATCGTAAGGACATGATAAAAGTGGCGCAAAACTACTGCACCAAGGGCAAATCGAAGAACATTATTTTTAGCAGTGGTGCTCTTCACGAGTTCCAGTTGCGTGGACCCTACGATGTGGCCAATCTGTTAAGTATTGATGGCATTGTATAAAAGTTGACGCACTTATTGAATTACATTTGCAGTGCATATATTTTTGGCCTGTCGGCGGATCAAGGTAAAAATGCAATCGACCGTTTTTGCCGACAACTCTTTCTACGTGCTGGTATGTTTTGAATTGATAAACTGAATGAAGATTTACTTATGAAGCATATATATATGTAGAATCTCGTCGCTTGGGGAAAACCATAATGTTTGTTAAAGGAAAAGGACCTATTGTTTACTCAGATAGTTCAGATGAAGGCGAAGACGATGATGTACAAATGGATGAAATTGAACCTATTATCACTGAACCAGCAACCGAAGATGAACAAGAAATCGAGAATTACCAGCCAAATAAAAAAAGACTGAAGGTGTTAGAGTAGAGAAATAAAAATAAAATGATCTATTTAATTTTTTAATAATTCATCTACATTGTTTACTATATTACCACTTGGCAAGAAGAACCAACAGCGAGCAGTCACTTCTGTTTTAGAATTGTAGGGACGTGCCAACTCGCTTACAATGACCGACAGCTGAGGCAACTACCGAATTTCACCTCGTTTGTTTCTAGATTGGCTGTTTGTGTCATTGTCAATTATGCTGTCAAAATGCTTTGCCGGCTTAATTTTAAGGTCGGTTTGACACATTACGACCTTGGACGTATCCGTTTTGACATCATCGTTCTCACCAGCGCTACTCTTATTATGGTTAAAATCGTGGTTAGTTTAACGCGCCATTTACGTTGCCACCTAGCCTTGTTAGTATCGAGTATTTAGCAGCCGCTCAGAGTCGTATTTAAATGTAGCGCCAATGCTGAATAACGCGCTTGTCGTGTTAATATTGTGCAGCACTGGTGGGCGACGCCATGCCAGTAGCAGCGTAGCAGTAAAGCATATCCGCAAGAGCGACATATCCGCAAAAGTGCTGCTAGAATTTTGTTTGAAACGGTAAATAATAGTGTGTTTTAATAGCTAAAACTAACAGCAAAACAAAACTAAAGGATCCGACAACATTTTACGCTGTAAACCTCAACGAAATTGAGCGTATTTGAAGCGTAATATGCATTTGAAAAATTTTCATCGAAAACCAGACACTTGAAAGAAGAAAAAAATGTGAAAAGAAGAAGAGAGCAGCGAGAGGGCAACGGCAACGATGAGAAAAACGGCAAAAGAAATATGTATTTCGCGATACGACGACTGCGACGGCGGCAGCAGCCAATGTTCAATTGTTATTCCTAGTCAAATTTGATTTTCTAAAGTAAAAAAAGTCGAACAATATCGCAACGTAACTGTGAATAATAGTTTCAATTAATAATTTTACGAAACCGGAGTATATTATTAGTATAGAAAAAAAATACATATGTATATGCTGGTCAGTGAAATATGGCCAAGTGCAATGTATGCGTGCGGGCGTGTGTGTGTTCGTGCGTTAATTAATTGGCAAATCAAGACAAGAGGTACAATGCTGCTGCAAAATCGGAACTTAAATCCAAACCCAAATTAACCGAATGAAAAAGTATAAAGAATGCAGAAAACCCAACGTTGGTCTAAAGGCGTGCACCCCGAAGTTTTTGCCTCTTTACATTTTTGTTACCTTTTGTATAATTAAAAATGGACCGCTGTGTATATATATGCTGTATTTGCGTGTGAGCGTGTGGCTGTATAATGCGCGAGTTGTATCTGTGTGTGTGTGTCGACGCTCGTTTGGGTTTTCGCTTCATGATGATGTTTGATTATAATAATGATTATTGCTTGCCTGACTTTTTGTCTTTTTTATGCATATATATATTTGTGTGTGTGTGCGTGTGTCGGTCTGTCGTTTGCTGCTTCGGCAGCTAAATTGTGGGGGTGGCGGCGGCGGCAGCTACGACGACAACGACGACGAAGTTGATTTCTTTCTTTCATTTTTTCTCTCTTGCCGCTTTGCTGCTGTGTAAAAAAAGAAAATTAGTTGCTCCGGCTGCTGCTTCTGTCTTTGTTGTTGTTGCTTTCTGCCCCTTTCCACGTTTATAAGGCGCACACACAGCTGCAGACCGCTTCGTCAATGATTTTTCATTTCAATTACATGTTTAGTTTTCTTTTTTTTTTCGTTGCCAATGTGCTAGTGTTGGTGCCTATATATGAGAATGTATGTGTTTGAAATAAAATTTCTTACATTACGCTTTTTTACTTGTTTCTGGCGTTGTAATTATTCGCCGTCATCGTCGCCCACCACACCACAAAAACGAGGCAAGTTCGCCATTTATATTTTCACTTCTTTGAGCTGCTTTTTCTTCTACTACTACTACATTTTTGGTGTATCTTTGCTGAGTGGCCGCCTGGTTGGCTGAGTGGCCTGTATATACATATGTATATATGTGTGTGTTGATTTTTACAATACTCAAAAAGTTTTCGCGTCGCGCGATACTCTTGTTGCAGCATAAATTTTGTGTATGTATGTATTGGTTTGTCGTTCGTTGCAGTGTTGCCATCGCATTCGCATATGCAGCCGTTGTCGTCATCGTAGCCGTCGCCGTTTGCACCTGTACAAAAGACAAGCTCACTAAAATGTGTCGGCTGCTGCGTGCCCCCGCCCCCCGCAGCGTACATTTCGCGACCGCTACAGTTGCTCTTCTTCGCTCAATTCATACCAACAAACATCCATACATATGTATGTATGTATGTTTTTCGAAATGAGTGAGTTGCCTCACACAGTGAGGCGACAATGACGTTGGGTAGTGCGTAAATTTGTTTTGAGGGGAAGCATAGGAGGCGGACTTGTATAATTTTACCCAACTAAATATCCCCATCATCTATTTTTAACGGATCTAATGTTAGGTTTGATTTCGCCTAATCTCTTCTACAATTAATGTATACTCAGACATGTAAATTATTTGCATACAATTTGGTCGAATTTCTGGTGTACACCATAAATAAAATGTTACTTCAATTTAAACAAATAACAACTTAATGCTATCTCTGAAACAAACAAAATTCGTTGGGATCTACCCTTCAAATCTTCCCTGTCATTTAACATTTTTTGTGGAAATTATGTGCATGTCTGACTAAGCTTATTGTTTTCCTGTAGATTTACACTGCTGTTTATCTCGTCGCAGTTTTGGATAGACTGGCTTAACCTCAGACCTTCTTTGAACTTGTACCCTTGGATAAATGTATAACGCATCATGCTTCCTTGCCTTTTACGTAAATGTTGCACATAGACAAAACTAAACTACCGTAATCCGCTATCATTTCACATTCAAGAGAACATCTTATTTTCTTAAGCAGCTATAATATCATAACTTTTGGGCTCACAGTGCTCATAGTAAATTGTTTGTTGCTTTTTAGGACAGGTGTCCATGAAATTTTTCTTTTAAGGAAAGAGCATTTCTTTGATAGGAAAAGTAAGGTCTCGAAATTGTGAATACTTATAGTTGAACAATTTTCTTACAAATGATGCACATTGGGCATCAGGTTATACACATGCATGTGTGTGTGTTCTGATTTTTACTTGATTTAGAACATAACCAGTCATCATGTGTATGCAATTGCAACGGTATTTTTTCACAGCACACATATACATATGTATGTAGTTTTCTGTAAAATGTCAAACAACATCAATGTTACCAACATCGTTGCTTCTATTTAGCGGTTGCATTGTCTTCTTCATCCATTTGATTGCAGCAGCAATCCTGTCTGTCAATAGTCTTTCTGTCTGCCTGCCCGTCTCTGCCTCCCTTAGACACTCGGTTCTTCTCATTCTCCTCTCACACCACCGCGCGCAATTGATGCCAAGAGAGAGCGCATAAAATTCATGCTCTCTTGTCTGTCTCGGCGCCATCAAAGTGCGTCTCGCAGTTGTCTGCTGCCTCTGTTTTGCCTTCGCGGCTGCTGCGACTGCGGCTGTTACATTTTATTTTTTTCATTTGACTGCTTCTTGTTATGTCGTCGCTCTGCAGCTTTTCCAACGTGTGCAATTACACAAAAGTTTCGATGGCCGTCGTCTGTATTCCATGCTGTTGTGGAAATTTCTATCGATTTCTTTGTTTAAGATTCTCGCACCGGCGTTCAGCCCCAACTACCGTGTGCGCGTCCACAGCTCACGTTTAATTGTAATTATCGTATGTATTGCATCGTGTTTGTGTGTGCGTGCGCAAGAAAGTGTATGTGACGTGTATATCCACAATTGTGCTTACTCAAGTCAGAGCAGACGAGCTCAGAAGTTATTTTTGTCTACGCTAAAGCTAAATACCCTTCACTGTGCCATGCAACAAAAATTGTATTCCTCATGGAATTACAAGTAAACTCGACTGTGTCCGCAATATGTAAATATTGTTACTTGCCGGGTCGGCATTTGGAATAATTTGCATGACGCTTCAATAATATAGTATAGTGATCTGGCATGATCAGTGTCTGCCAAAAAGAAGCATCCATGCAAAGTGTCAACGAAGTAGCTTTTAAACTACAAGTATGGGTGAAATAGTGATTGAATCAGCCATATGAACAGTGCTATTGGTTTTCGTCCCCCCATCCTGATTACTCTGTTGTTACACACACACCAGAAACCATATACCCTTACACTTTTCAGGGTATAAGCGAAGCAGTCATAGAGAGCAATCGCGCAAAATTACTGCAAACCGTTGCGCTTTGTAGCCGTAGTTTTCGCCGTCTCTTCCTCTGCTTTTGCGTACTCATACATAGGCGTCTCCAGATTTATTGTTACTGCAAGTGCAACAATTATTAATTCGCTTTAATACGTATTTATGCATACATACATATTCGAGCAGATGTGTGTGTATCTGTATCTACACTCAATTTAGTGTTATCGTTGCTTCATCACCTCCCTTCCTTCCTTTGTCAAATAAAATAAACGAAACCACAAATTGCGCATAATTATTGAAAAATAGTTTGACAAATGACTTCTGAATGCCGCAGTGCAAATTCGAATGAAAAGCGTAGATAAAACATTTGTGAAAAGTTACTAAGAAATTAATAAAAACCAGTGCATAATAAAAACGATATTGATGATAGTTAAATAAATACGCTCTCTTACTTATCACGGATTAGCAGTGTTGCCGCTCAAGACTAAAAGGTAAGACTCTTTAAAAATAATTCTACTCGTTCTAAATAGTAATATATTTATTGAGAAACTAATGAAGTCATCTACAATTAATTTCAAAGATGCTCATAATACAATACGAATCGTTTAAAAATTGTGTCAATCTCATTTGAAACTGAGTTATTCTAGAAAACATTCCATTTTTTAAGAAATGTCCCCTCTTTGTATCTGAAAAAAACATATTTTGACAATATGTAATCACATCATAATTACACAATATTTCGATCGGGCTGTCTAAATTAAGCAACTCGCCTATGGTTTAGTCATGTATGTATTTAGCTAGACTATAACGCCATATATATTTCATAATGCCAATATTTGCTCAAACGAATCGTGAAAATTCAGGGAATTTACAACAATGGAAAGGCAGAAAATGTTTTTTAGAAATAATTATGTATCTCCATCGAAAAGGCAGCTACGACGTACATACATACAAACACATACATATACACAACCAGTCAGTCAGTCAAGCAGGCAGCTAGTCGGCAAGTAAAAATGAACGAGCAAACACGCTCACTCACACAAGCGCAAATGTTTGTATGTATGTACATGCAAACAAACACAGGCAAATGAATTGAGCGGAAAACGAACGCCACCGCAGGCATACACACATACATAGCAAAAAAAAATATAAAAAGGCACACTCGTATGACTTCAAAAATATAATTTCAATCAACTCCTTGATGTGGTAAATGCAAAAAAAAAAACCGTAAAACGTTGCCTGCATCTTCTTGTTGCTGTTGTTGTTATTGCTGTTGTCATTCGTTAATATTCGAAGCGGCGAAAAATTAACAATAAAAGAACTACACAACGCGCTTTACGTGACGTGCAAATAAGAGCGGCGACAACA